TTCTGTTCCTCTACTCCACTCTTGTGAGATTCCACCTGGAGTACTGCATCCAGCCCTGGGGTCCCCAACATAGGAAGAATATGGACTTATTGAGGCAGGACTAGAGGAAAGTCATGAATATGACTGAGGGATGGACCACCTCTCCTACGAAGAAAAGCTGAGCAATTTGGGGTTATTCAGCCTGAAGAAGAGAAGGCTCCAAGTTGACCTCATTGTGATCTTTCAGTTCCTGAAGAGGACCTATAGGAAGGCTGGAGAGGGACTTTTCACAAGGACATGTAGTGACAGGACTAGGGGGAATGGCTTTAAACTGAAACGAGGTAAGTTTAGATTTAGAAACAAGGTAATGGGAAGAAATTCTTCACTATGAGAGAGTGGAATAGGTTGTCCAGAGAAGTTGTGGATCCTTCATCCCTGTTTCAAGGCCAGGCTGGACAGGGATTTCAGCAATCTGGTCTATTTGAAGATGCCCCTGCACGTCCGGGGGAGTTGGAACTAGATGACCTTTAGAGATTCCTTCCAACCCAAATTCTTCTACGATTCAAAATGATATGGAAATTCTCTAGGGTCTGATGTATTTAACAAAGTGAACCTTTTAGGCTATGACTTGGCCGTAAGTGAGTAGGGTATTTAAAATAATGATGATATTATTCAACATGGATTAATTTAATTTGAAATAGGACTCAGTCCTTCATAAACACAGTGGAAGTGAGCTGTTGGATGTAATTTTGTAAGCTCAAGCTCAGTTTTTTTATTTTTCTTTTCAATGTCCATCTTTCTCACTACACACTGAGGGTACAGGACAGACTCAGCCCAGATCACACAGACAGGCAGCCTGAGATCTGCCTTAGTCACACCTGCAACTGCAGACTTCGTGCAAAAGCTTCAGGCACTTTCGGCAGATGGCTAGGAGCTTTAGGGATTGATGAAACACATGGAGCCATTTTCAACATCTATACAAGGGCAAGTAAGAGAGATTTTCCCTCTCACACACACAGCCGCTCTACTTGGGGAGTTGAAATGCAGATTTAAAAAAAAAAAAAACGGCTCAAATTTGGTAGAAAAAATAGGACACTGACACCAGAAATGCAACTACCACAGAAGTCTTATACTAAAGATTACCCTCAAATAGTCAGAAGTAGCTCTGACTTGCATTAATATTTTCATGTTTGTATTCATAGTCCTCTAAAAGTCTTACTGCTTCTTTTTCTTCTTTAACTTCAGACAGTCACATGCCTGTGAAATGTTTTGCTTGACTTGGGAGGGAAGTACACTCTTCTGCTTTTCTATGCTAGATTAATAATTATGTTAAAGACTTTTCTGCCTACTAATGAGAGAAGGAGAGGATGAGCTCTCACCGAGAGCTTTTCTTTGAAGTGAAAATCTTTAGTAGAGCCCTCTCATTTCTAAGGGCACTATAATCATCTTGATGGGAAGAAAGAAAAAACAGGATTCTAGATCTGTAGCTATCTGCCTTCCACTCTCTCCCTTATTTTCCCTTTACCTCTCCTTCATGAACATGTGCACATGTGCACACACTCACACACACTCTCTCACTCTCTGGGCTATGGAAGTAGCAACCTGCAATGCATGCATTTTTTAAACTGCATGTTTACATCCACACAGGTACAGGTTTGGTTTTTTTCAAAATAACACATACCTGTACCACATACATGCCAAGAATCACACACTATCCTTCAAGGACTTTGCTCTTATTCTTTTCAGTACATTTTTATGGTTTTGACCTTTATTTTCTGCACACATCCTGTCAGATCTTTGGCAAATGAATTTCATAGACACAAATATTTGCTCTAAAGCAATCTGGAATTATAAACACCCACACACAAGGAGACTTTAAACATTAATACTTTGCTATGGAAATACTTGCATTTTTCACTCAGGGAATAAAATCTGCATCTTGCCTGACCACCTCCAACCAGACAGCATAGCCTGAGTTACAATTATGCACCATAATTCCCTGTGATAGAAGTATAGTGAAAATAATTAATTCAAATGCATTCAAATAAATAATTTTAAAGTAAATGTACATTGCTGGAGGATGCTCAGCAAGCAGAAAAAAAGCCCAGTAGCCTAATATGCTGTTTCTTGGGAATATCTCTGTCTGCCCTTAGGCTGATATATTCTTTGAGAACACTTTAATGCAGTTCCTATAATTAGCAAGTACTTCATAATCACCTTTGAGAGAATGAAATCTCTCTGTAACACTCGGGTGTATCTTGCAGGCATCGAAGTGTACATGGTTCTTGTATCAGCAGAAGAAAAGTTGCAGGGCATGATGGGGGGGGCTTTCAAACATTACCAGAAGGCATCAATGTTGGTTCCATGTAGCATACTACATCTCTCTTCTTTGAGAAATACTAGTAAAATCCTGGTCTCACTGAAGCCCCTGGGCATTTTGATAGCTGCTTCCCCAGCAATCCAGCTAGGGGAAAGTCTTCATTTGCAATATGCAGAGGCAGGGCTGGGAGCAGAGAAGCATGTGTGGACAAAGTCATGTGCTCCTTTCCTTACCTGGATAAGGAGGTCACACGTGGGCTGGGCCCCTGCCTGGGGAGGCAGCTGGCAGCTCTCTCCCTCTTTCCCCGACCATTTGGCCATTTCCCTTGTGCCCCGTGGCGACTCCTGTTCTGCTCTGCACACCCCTCTTCCGCTCACACCCGGAGGCTATGATGTCTACAGGCAAAATGTGTTCCTTCAAATAAGATTAACTGCCTGTGATAGTATGAAAAGATTGTCACGAGGTTTTTAACTCTTTGAGTGTCCTAGGACAAACTCTGTCTGTGGGAGACCTCTTCCAGCTGCCACTGCTGCTTGCCAGTGTGTCTTCTATTAAGTTGGCATGCCGAGAGATGTAAAAACGATGTCTGATGTCTGAGTATCAATCTGATATATTATCATACTTGGTAATTATTCTGTCAAGTGTCTTAGGAGAGGAGAGAACAGAAGAAACAGCTGTGGAAAACTGGGCAAAAACTGTTGTTCTAGTAAATATCTTTGAGCTTGATGTTCAGTAATTGTTTAGCTGTAAGAAGGACCTGAGTTTGTAAGACATACTTCATTTGATTGTAAAATTGACTTGGAGAAGGAAATGTCTAGAAAAGAAATTGTATGAAAATTTTATTTCTGATACTGCTTGCCAGGTGTTTGAGAACTTAAAAGAATAGATGACTAAAAAAAAAAAAAAAAAACCCAAAACAAACACAAAAACCAAACCAAACAAAACCCCAAACTGTTTTAATGCAGTTTTTCTACCTTTTTTTTTTTCTCTACAAATTTGAATTTGATTAGAAAGGGTTGCTCATTTACAAAATGCATTAGTTGATTACAGAACATTCCCTGAACCCCATGGATCTCTGTAACTCCTCCTGCTAGTAAGCATCCCCAGTAAATTCCCTGTTTCTCATTTTGAACCACAGAAGGCTTTTATGACATTTCATGTTAAAATGTATTTACCTGAAATAATTTCTCAGCAGTGATCTACAGGATTTAGACTGCCCTGGAGTATTCTGAATGATTTAAACTGTGATAGGGCCCTATGTCTCAAAAAACCAGAGCAAAAATATGTAACCAAATGTCTCTGTAGTAATCTGAGTAGACCAAGCCTGCACCTTATGTACAATATAACACATAATAAAATAGCTCTTTGATTTCCAGTAGAATTTCTAATGTAGTCATGTCATAGTGTTGTTCAACAACTACTGAAATACTTGGAGGGAAAAGTTGTCTTCAGTTGAAGGCAGCTGAACAAAAACTAGGCAGTATTTTTGTTCAACAAAAATGTTACAGGGGTCTGTGCTTTTCAAGTACCTGAAAGTAGCTAGTTAATAGGGTGATTTGTTCACTGTTGGAAGTTGAGGGGAAGACTAAAGCATTTGTTAGACTAACCTCTCATGCAAGGATAAGTTAGATTAATGGTGTACAAAATGTTCTGGGTAAAGTAACTCTTTTACCTGCAGGGTTTTACATAGGCAGGCATGTGAGAAGTTTGTTTGCAGTACTGCAGGGTTGGCATGCACTGCTTATTTAGATTCTACCTGAAAAGCCGGTAGTGATTTCATGCCATCAGAATGAATTTGGAACAGAATTCATTACTCTTTCCAAGAGAGATAATTTGTGAAAAGCTCTCCTGGTGCAGGTTAGACTTGTTCTATCTTTAACCTTCACACCTTTTGCACCATACGCTTTCAAGGAGGATGATATAAGGACGTTGATGGACTTTGGTCAAAGCTTAAGACCAGATTCATAGGTTCTCTGACTATTTCTAGCACAGAGATGCTGTGTGGCCTGGAGCTTGTCATCTTACTTTTTATGTGCCTCAAATTCATCTGCTCTGAAATTGTAAAATTTGTCCATATCCCAGGTAGGTAGCTGGTATTTAAACCTATTTTTACTCTAGGATACGGTATGTACCCTAAACAAGAGGAGGTTGGGAGTTTCACTTCATCACTGTTTGAATCTCACTTTCAAATTATCAGTTCTTAAGTTGTAAGTTGAGATGGACACAGTTCTGGGAAATGCCAAGCAGTCACATATTCCCCTAACTGAGGTGACGGTAGAGGGAAATCAAGATCTCCTGTGAAAGCCCACAGAATCAAATCATACTGTAGAGCAGAGTCAGTGTAGATACATACGTAAATGTATAAACAAGTCTACTTGCAGATATCAGTCAATTAGCCTGATAAACCTAAATCATTCTAAGAGTTTATAAGCTATAGAACATTCAGGCAGATTTGTTTTAGCTATGGGTTAAAATGGCTATATAAATCAGACATTTCCCTTTTCAATCCCAGACACTGACAGAGAACATAAACAGGGCTTATCCCCTGAAGTGCAGTAGGAGTAAAGAGCAGCCAGCCCTCTCCCTGCCCTCCATTCCCAGGAGTGCTTTACCAGAGAGTTCTTGTCATCAGAAGGTCTGACTTTCCACCCCAGATGAAGGCGACTATGCTTTTCTTACCATCTGTTTTCTTCTTTCACAGTTTTCAAGAGGTGCAAGGAGACCTCTTGGACCATGAGCCTTGGTTGTGTACATTGTTTGCCATGAGACCAATTGCCTGGGGCATCAAGTTCTAGAAACTTCCATTGTCTCTTACTACAAAGGGCTGTCATTGTCTCTTCTGCTCAGTCATAAATGTGTCTCGCACATGTGGAAGGGTTGTCTACAGTCTCTAGTCGTATGGCAATAAAATTATCTTCAGATGGGAACTGTCCATACTCAATAGGATATGGTATCTTCTCATGTTCTGTAACAATAAGCTTGACACAAGCATTAAAAATTCATTAAAATGTATTCTAAAACACTTCATAGATTACATTTTTTTCTCACGTGGAGCTCCTAGCCTGGCTCTCGTTCAAGCTGATGCAAAGTAAATTGCTGCCCTTGTGTGACCTTATTTTTATTAAATAATAATAGAAGGAGTAAGAAATTCAGAGACACACAATCAGACCAGTTCTGAAACAAGAGTTATACAGAGACTTCTCTGTGTCATATTCAGTTACGTTTAAACATAATGTGATATGATGCCTTTTAAAACAGTCACTCCTTGCATGCTGTTTTCAAGCCAAGCACCCATGAGTGGGTCTTAAGAAGTGAAAAAACTACTAAAGGGAATGGTAAGCCCAGTTATCTCAGACTTTCACACCTGCACAACAAGATGACTTATCTCAAGATGATTTGTCTTGGAGATGAGTATCAAAAAGATGTTCACTGTTTTTTCCCAATAACTCTTTCAGAAAGAATAATCAAAGGGGTTTGATAGTTGTTAAAGAGGAAGCCATGTAACAGGGTAGGATCAGTCCCTGAATATATATATTCTAAGCTCATTAAACTCCACACAACTCAGAAAACAGTCGCCCTTCTAACTGAGGAAGAAACATGTTCCCTGCTTCTTTTCCAACTAGAATAAGCGCAGTGTATTAAGACACACAAGGTAGACCACAGCAAAGCTTGTTTGGAGTTCTCACTTGAAGTGCACATTATGCACTTGTATTGTAATATATTCAAACTGACAGCTTCATTATGGAGAATTAATCTAAATTATGTCTAGACATATATTTGCAACCACAAGCATCACAGAGACTGCTTGGTGGCTGACTGCTCAGAGGAATTAAACAAGAAAATCATAGGCTTAAACCTTACAAATAAACGGTTAAATTGATAAACCAAGGAATAAATGAGTTTATCCATGCTTCAGGAACAATACCAAAATCTTCTCCCTAGAATTTTGCTACTTTACATGTTTCTTCTCCAGTTTACCATTCTAATTGTCATCCCCTCTGCTGTAAGGATGCAACCCTGCTGTAATGCTACCACAGCCTCAGAAGCCTACACAGCAAGAGTGTAGGGAAGTCACAGCAAGCCCCAGGAAGCATTACATGATTCCTGCTTCTGTGCAGTAAAAATGCTTGGATATGCCCATACTGTGAAAGAATATTGTGAACCTCCTATGGATATTTTAAGTCAGGTGTGTCGGGAAGGACAAAGGCTGTAGGAACAAGGATGATTTAGAACTTTCCATATACAGATAATTTTATTACTCAGCTGTAAAAAGTCCACAACACTGCCAGTGGATCATGCATTTAATAGTAATTTTAAAGACTAACTGTACACAGTACTTCATCCTAAACTCACTTTAAGGTAACAGCTTACAACTGCAGGTCAAGGGACAGTATATGAGAGGTTTGGTGTTTCACAGCGGCTGTGACTTCCAGTAGAGCTCTCCGGGCAGCTGAGCACACAGGAGATACCTAACCTGGTAGCTGCACCGCCAGAGGAATCTCCATGTAATCAGAAAGCACCTTCCTGCTAAGGCATGCCAACAGTCCCCTGTTGCAACATGGGGACAGCATGTTCCCAGCTCCAGAGGAAATGAAGTGCTCTCTACCCTAGTGTGGGGTTAGAGGTAGGGGAGAGCCTCTGCCAGCCCTTTTGGTTTTGAGATCTGCATCTGCTGTAATGCAAGCTTCATGCAGCTGTCCAGAAGGGCTGGGGAGGGCTGAGAGAAGAAAGTGGGCTGAGCCTCAGTAGGAGAGAATTAGATGCTGGGCAGGGAAAATGTGAGATTTGAGACTGCTTCAGCTCCAGGACTGCATCCCACAATGTTCTGAAAAGCACTGGTGATTTTTACACTTGACCCACAACAGTGAATTCAACTCCTTGACTTGCCTTTTTTCTCCATGGGGAAGCAGGAAAAATGAGCATAGGCACAGCCCTCAGTAACACGTCTGAACAGCTTCCCGCCTGGAGAAGGTTTTCACTCTGACTCAGGGAGCAGGCAGAACTACTGTCTGTGGAGATGTGCCCGCAGATACACCAGGTGGAAACAGAGCAATGCAGGCATTGTACATGTCCTACAGAAATAGGGGTGAGATAAGAATGACGGCAACACAGGAAGGTCAAATTAATTTCTTAAGGTTACCCAAAAGGCCTGTGCCAAACACATCTCCTGAATCCTGGGTAACTGTGAGTGCAGTGGAGGTTTACCTTCTGGAACAATGTTGCTGCTACATCTAATAAGTGCTTTAAGTGCTCTGTCAGAAGTGTTTAATAGTTATTTAGAAAGCAGAAGTAGAAATCTGAGTGAACGGCATTAGTTAGCCACAGCTAGATGCTGGCTTGCATTTCTGACCCCTGTTGTTAAGGGAGGCTAAGGAAATACTAGAGGGGTTTCAAAGGGGAGCCACAAAACTAGCTTGTGGGCTGCCAAGCAGACTGTGGGAGATAAGACATAAGTCCTACAATTTATTCAGTTTGCTGAAACAAAAAGAAGCCTGAGGTGATTTGAGTGTTTCGCCCAAGTGTTAGCACACAGGGCCCATCTGTGAGTATCTGAGAATAGAGAGCTTTCAAACTTTTACTGACAAAGACGTGACAAGATCCAATCACTGATAAATGTCCTTCAGTGGGAAAAACTTCAAATCAAAGCCTGCAATCAGTGGTGAGTACCTCACATGATTACCTTTAGGCTATGAAAGAATTCCTTCCCTCTGCCTCTTAAGATACATTTTGATTATTTCACTACCAACCTACCACTTTCTGAAGTGTCAGACCTTGGTTACAAGTTGGAAATAGGACAATGACACTGGCAGAAGGCGCTACATAGTCTTTCTGCTTTGTGTATCTTCCTCTGGTGCTCAGGCTCACACCAATGGCCAGATTTAAGGTAAGAAAAGTGTTTTACTCCAGAAGATAGTCCAGTAAGTCTTGAGAGTTTTTTCCTTTATCTTCAGCAAGGATTGCAGTTTGCAGGCTGGAATTCCTCACTGCCTAGGTGCCTTCAGGGTGCAGATACTTGGTTGTTTCTTCTTTGCACCTGGTACAGAGTTTTTTCTCCGGGAAGCTGAAACACTTAGGATAACCAATACTTAGTATAACTGTAGTCTTTGGGACGTGCAGGAATTCAAACAGTTCTCTCAGAACAATAAGAGAAAATCACTACCCAAGTTAAATTTTTGAAACCAAGTCACAAGAAGTCCTTCTCAGCCACTGCCCATCCTGACAATGCCCAAACTCCTCATGCAAGTCCCCCAGGCTGGCAACAATGAGCAACTTAAAGCCTGTCTCATTTCTGTTCCCCATCAGGATCAAGAAAATGGAACTCTTTCTGCTCATTTCCCCTTAATTAAACTTAATCTAGCTGCTGTTCTAAGAATACTCCAAACCAAGCTCAGTGAATTCAAAATTCAGTGACAGTCACTTTTAAAAATGTAGCTGGAGAAGAAGAAAGTCTTTACATTCCTCGTAAAGGGTTAAAAAGCCCAACTGAGTTGTGGTCAGTTGACACAGGTTTAATTGACCTTTCTCTGCCTAAGGGAATTTAAACTTCAGAGGAAGAAATCTTTGCTTCTGGCACACCTTTGAGCACTAGTTAAAAGGACATTTTACAAGCAGATAAACAGCCAACATCAATCATGGTAGAAAGTGTAATGTTCACTCAGTGCGTTTTAAAGAAGAGCACTGACATATTCTTTCTAATGTAAATTAAAGCCAGGGAATACTAAGTGAAAGTACTCAGATACCTGTCAGTAAGGAGATTTGGAATACAGGAGTTTCAGCCCGGTTGTCACAGTGCCTCAGCAGTTTGGCTTCCCTCCTGCTTTTATGCACTCTATGGCATGCAGGGCTTCCCCCTGCACTGTCTGAGCTTGTGCATGGTAGTCCTTTCCTGAACTTGAAGCTTAAAGTTTTCAGAGATTTGCAGCTAGATGAGAAAGAAACAACAAAAGAAGAAGAACAACCAGAAGAGGAAACTAAAACTAACTGTTGGTATATGGTCAATTCTGTAAGCAGCCCATGAGAAATACCAGGGCTTTTACAAAATCTTTTGTCACAAATGAAGTTATTCTATGAGCAGAAGGGAAAAAAGTGTCGTTGGTGTAAACCAAGAATTATTGGCCTGCTTCTTTCAGTCACATTTTTAGATTTTTTTTTTTTTTTAATGGGACACATCTAAGTGAGTTGTGTATATGTAGCCCTGTTTTCCCTTAGCTATTGAACCTACTCATTGATTTGAATCAAATTCAAGACAAGAATAAAACCCTCTAAGGTTTTTACTGCTAGAACATTATTCGGGAGAGGAGTTGAAAGGTGTAAAGCTGCAAGGGGATGGAACAAAAAAATCTTAATATTGATCTGCTAAATCAGCCAAGAGATATAGCTCTGTAACAAACCTGATTTGATGTTTCATACTCATTGTTTTTATCTGACTTTCTCTTCCTTTCTGCAGGTAATGTTCACAATTTCAGAAGGGTCTAAGCCTCACTTTTAGACCCCCTCCCCCCTCCCCCCCCAATAGCTTCTGTTCTTATGACCCTTGCAGGAACTTTGCAGGAACAATATACCCAAGGGTTGTCATATTTGGTTCAATTCAGCCAACAAGTTCTGTGACTACTGAAGCAGAAAATATATGTAGGGTGCTGTTCCAGCGAAAATGGAAAAGACTGTCAGCCCTGAAGCCATGAACAAACTACCTGATACAAGCCAGAGTTAATGAAAGGCAAGCTACTTTCCCCACTCCAGCATATTCCCCTTAAAAGCACAGGCTGAAATGGAGGCTAGTAGAAACTAGTTTGTTGCTTTTGAATGCTTCAATTTCTGCTTATGATTCATCAATAGAAGAGCGGGCTACAGCATGCAGGGAGGTTTGTTTGGCCAGCTGTGAGCCTGAGCAAGTCCAGACTCATGTAACCAGTCATCACTTTCTCACTGTTAAATAGCC